TATGTAAATAAACTAATAAAATAATAAAATATATAATAAACATATAAAAAAAATAATAAAATTTAAGAAAATATATAAGAAAAATGTTAATAAAAATTTGTCTATATTACAATAGATATTAGAGAATTGGTATTTTTTGGACTATCTAGATTGGAAGTTTAAGAAAACTAATTAAAAAAAACTGAAAATGAAAGATACTAGGTAGATTTGAAAAGAAATTCTGTAGTTTAAATAAACTTTGCAAAAATACAAAGCAGATAATAATAGTAGAGGTAAAAGGCTGCAAGTACTTGTTTTCAAACTCTATATTAGTTACTAAAAATCTAGAAAATACATGTGTAAAATATAGACTACTTTAATAGATTTACTACAAGAATAAAGTGCTTTTTTATATAAAAGTATAAGCTTGTTTTAAAGTTTTAAAGAGTTTTAGTAGCAAATTTCTTTTTAGTAAAAATATTCAATTGTTTTTTTTATTGTTAAAATGGAAACTTGCTTTAAATTATATTATTTGTATATCATATTATATATTTGATATATTTTATATATATTTTGAATCTATATTAATATAAAGCTTAGACTATTTTATCTATATTTTGTATCTATTAGAGCTAATATGTTTTACTTATAGATTTTACTTTCTAACTATCTTTATTTGAATACTTTAGCTACATATTTTTTTTATATCTTACCAATCTTATTAATAACTCTCAAATTTGTTCTTCTATTTTAAGAAATTGCTATTATATTACAGGAATCCATATTATTTTACTGACAATCACTTTACTGATAGCTTATTTAACTAACATTATGCCAGGTGAAATTTAGTAAAAATATATATCTGCAACTAATCAAATTCTTAACCCTAACCCTATGTGATGTTAGTTAAATGAGTATTCAGTGAAATGATTGTCAATAAATTGATCAGAACCTATATTACAGCTTCCAGTTTGGTATATTTATTATATATATTTAGTAATATTTTTAACTATTACTTTTTATAGTAATATTTGTGGCTATTTTTGGTTAAACACACTTAAAAGTATATATTTTAGCTAGAATTTACTATCTAGCTAAGTTTTTATATAAGAAAATTAATATTATATTGTCAAATAATTTTCTTTCATTTATTTCTTTAAATACTACTAACTTATATTTCAAACCAAGTTTTTGTTATTGCTACTACTAGTTTGTATACTTCAAGTCTTATTTATTGTCTTATATAGCTAATAATATTAACCCTATTCTTTAATGTACTTTTTGTATAATATGCTTTCACTTTATTATTAACTTTCATATAGATATAACTAGAGCCTATTGGCACTTTTAAGTATACAAAATTTATTAATCTACCTTTATATATTTTTAAATCTTTATCTAGGTTATTATTGTTTTATAGCATCAGATATGCTTTTAATTTCAGCTAGACTAATTCTTTATTACAGATTTTTATTGTGTTTGCCAAGTCAAGAACTTACTCATACATTATATAACAGAACCTTCTGTGATGCTGTCATTATACAGTATATAGTATCTACACTCTACAATAGCAATCTTCTTTTAAGAATTTTCATTTCTAATCTTGCATTTGCACTTGGGCTTTTTACAAACTTTGCATCTAATTATAGCTTCTTTTTGGTTACAAAAGCAAATATTAATATTTGCTTCCAGCCTAACTTGGACTATCAACCTAGTCTGTGAAGATTGGAAGCTTAACCAATAAGCTACAGAAACTAAACCTATATTTTTTAGTTGTAATATATTATTTAAACAATAATTAAATAGAAAGATTTGTAATTATTTAAAATTTAAATTAAAAAATTAAAAATAATAAATAGTTTGAAAAATAATATTAATAGACAAAGCAAATATTTTTAAAAATAACCAACTAATCAAAAGTAATAGTTCAGTTTTAACATATTTTATAATTTTTTATTTAGATAAAAAAAATTATAAACAGTTTTTACTCTTTATTTATAAGTTTTAAGTTTTGGTAAAACAAACTTCTCTAAATGCAATGCCGAAGTGTTATATGAAAAAATTGGCCCATATTGCGTTTAGAAAGGTGCATTTAGAAAGGTGCATTTAGAAAGATGCATTCAGAAAGATGCATTTAGAAAGATAAATTTAAAAATGATGCATTTATTTAAAAAGATGCATTTTAAAAGGTAAAATTAGGGTTGTTAATGGGTTGGGTTGGTTTGGTTGACCCAATCTTCAATCCACACCACTAAATTAGACTTACTCCGATGTTTTGCTCCGGTTGTTCCAGGTTGCTCCAAATTTAAAGACATAATTTTAAATCCACTCCAACTTTGGTTGGGTTCTACTCTGGAGTGCTTCGGAGTAAGCTACACCATTAACAACCCTAGGTAAAATCTATAAATGTCATGAATAAATCAAGCAAAACTGCGTGTTTACAGATTTGTCTTAAATAGATTTCCATTAAAATCTATTGAAATTATGCCAGTATTATGAGTGAGAACGGAATTTAAGTGGATTTGGAATTTCTTAGGTAGAATTTATTCTATACGTATAAACCTATACGCTAACTCTAAATTCCTAAGAAATTCCAAATCTACTTAAATCCCGTTCTTACCTTTCGACATTTTCCGATTGCATGTAAATCATTTTTGTCATTATTGATCCAAATGTTCATTCCAAAAAATGATTTACGTGCAAATAAAAAAGAGGTATGTTGGTTTAAAATGTTCCGAATTAGCCCGATCGGAAAATGTCGGAGGGTGATTTTCCATGCAACGATCCCATATATATTTGAACTACCTTTGCTCATGACAAAAAAATTAAAATATAATCATAAAATTGAAAACATATATCTCTCATCATGCTTGAATAATTCAACTTAGATTATTTCAAGATGTACTTTTATTTACAAGCTTATAATTAATTTTATTGCAAAAAAAAAAGAAAAGAGCTAAGAAAAACTGGTCGTAAATGCATTTTATTAATTTGTATCATATTATTATTTACAAATTAATTATTTCCATATAATTTTCGCATAGTATCACTATATAAAGTGGTGATAAGGGAATACTTAATTATGTCTCTCAGGAGAGGACAAAAACAAAAGTTCAAAAACTTAATCTAAAATTAAATCTAAAATTAAATTTTCCTTGTTTGGTTTGATTCAATACTTTTCAATATTAAGAGTAATGTCACGTTGATACCATTATATTATCTAGTTTTTTTAAAAAGGAGAAAAATTGTTAATTAATATAATGTTTAAGAACGGAATGATATAGTAAAAAAAGAGTATTGTAAATTAACACTTACTGTCAAAAGGTATCGACAATTCGTATTGTTTTCGGAGGTCATCATCCACTTCCTCCTCTTCTAATTCTTTTGTTTGTAATGGCCTGTTCGTTTTAACAAAATAACTTTCGTCACGAACAAGTAAAGATGCTAGGTCAATTGAATTTTTATTTGAAGCATCATAAGATTGTTTAATACGTTGAGAATTAACACCAGACAAGGGAAGTATAGGAAATTTGATCTTTCTACTAGTATATATTGCTTGTGGATGAATCTTTGGAGGAGAAACCATTTTTCCAGGAGTTGTGTCAAGTCCTTTGGCTTTCATGTTACTAAGTCTAATTTTTTCAGCTTCTTTAAATTCATCGGAATGTTTACAATATAAATGCCAATCACTCAAGATTTTTACAATTTCCGAAATTTCCGGACGATTATTAGGATCACTAGACCAACATCGTTCCATTAAATCGACATAACATTTAGGAGTATTAGAATCATTTTTAGGACGTAAATTATGAATGCTAATATCATCTATTAGTTTTGAATTGCGAGTTTTATCGTAAAATGGAGGTTTGTTTGTCGATAATTCCCACATTAGCATCCCAAAGCTATAAACGTCCGATTTTATAGAGTAAGATTTGTTTTGTAAAATTTCAGGAGCCATGTAAGGTAAAATGTCATTTTTATAGTAACCCACAATTGGAATTGGATCTTTGTTATCACCCAAACCCAATTCATTTACAGGAATTTCTAAGTGGGATTTAAATATCTGGACATTTGAAGCGTGATCGCGATGAACCTGTTCACCACGTTGATAAGATTCAAGAGCACAAGCAATAGAATGAAGAATGGCAACTTTATGGGACCAAGTTAGGCGAGCGAAGTGATGAGAGACATAATGTCTTAAGTCCCATTCGCAAGTTTCAGCAACCATCATCAGATGACCTGTGACGGTTTCTCGCGTAACACCAAAAAGGCGTATTATAAGACCATTTTTTGTGCGAAAATTATAATGTAATTTTAACTAAAAAGAAATAAGGGAAAGAGATTTAGAAAGTTTGAATAGGATTATTAAAGTCAAAACAATAATAATAATAATATAATAATAATAATAATAATAATATAATAATAATAATAATAATAAAATATAATAATAATAATAATAATAATAATAATAATATAATAATAATAATAATAAAATATAATATAATTACCTCTCTTAGAAATATTTTAGGGTCTTTGCCAAGAGAAATAAGGGCAACTTTTATTAAATCTCTCCTGGCCACATATTTATGCTCATGTTCACTCCAAGCATCTTTTGGACCTTTCTTCCTATATATCATTTATAAACATATAGTAAAAATCGTAAAAAATAGGTTAACTTTGTGATTAAGATTATTCTTTTTATTATAAATCACCCTTAAAATTTCATACCAGTTAGCACTATATACAGTTCCGAAACCGGAAGTATCATATTTATTTATACCAATAAAAGATTTGAAGGGTAAAAATTCTAAATATTCAGTGCAATCTTTAGCATTTAATTGGGTTTCTTTAATAAAATTATCGATTTCTTCAAATCCAGTGGTCCAGTTATCAAAGTTTTCACGAAACTGTTGACTTTGGCAAGATTGACACCAGTGGCTTGTGACTAAGCATTGATCACATTCAGGACAGAAACTCTTGGCAGTAAACCCCATATTTGACCAAAAAGGAAAAAAATAGAAATATTGCTTCGCCGCCTAATAAGATTAAGGATGAAAGATTGGAATTAGTGAGAACAATCAAATGAAGCTTATTTTTATAACAATTTATGTGTCACAAAACATGATTTGTGTGTCACGAAATGGCGTATGATCGCATAATAGAAAGTCCGAGAAGACTTCTAAAACAATGAAGTCGGTTCATATAATGTCGCACAAGTCCAGTATGGAATATTTCCACAATTCTATTCGGGTAAACATTCTATGACACCATAGCTGCAGTCACATATAAAACCGACAAAGTGTAACCGTCATATGTTCGTTTTCTTAGAAATTGTAATAATGTAACGAACCAATGTTTTTTAAACAATTTTAAACAATCAAGTTTGGTTATATTTAGTTGTGGATCCTAATATGAGAAAGAATTACAGGTACCGGAGTACGTGAACAAGCGTACTGAACAACCAATGAAAGTAACAAATAGCTAATTTCCTTTCTATAAGTCTTTATTTTGCCGCAAGGATGCTTTTAGGCGCATGTATTCTTGTCAAATTAATACATATACGATTATAAATTCTTTGTTTGACAATGAAAAACTCCGCAATAAGTTATAAAAAAAAGACAAAACTCCGATATTATTGATTTTTAGTATGATAAACCTTAAACTTTTCATACGGACATGCACGTACATATTTCCAAAAGTGACAACACGTATCATAAAAGAAAGGATTATAGCAACTTGTATTCCTCTCACCCTACGCATTCATCTTTACTAATTTCGTTAATTTTCCACATTTGGATTCATCGAAAAAAATATTCTCACGAGTTGTTTGAGGATGTGTACAACTAGAATGAACTAAAATTTCATGTTTAACGCGACACTTGATATTTGGAAAGATTGCGTAAGAAGATTGTGTAAGAAATTACGTGTGCATTTGACTGTGATCACGTGGTGTGGTCAGACCTTGTTTGACAGTACCCATGGTACGTACGTACATGAGATGTGGAAAGATTCTCTATAAACTCAGTACCTTCATAAATCACAATGAGAACACATTTCTCTCCCTATATTCTTTGTATCATTCTTTTTTTAAAATTTTATATACTGCCTGCACAATAAAGGCCGCAGCTGAAGTTAACCTTGATTTAAAAATATATAAACCCAATCAAAATCATCAAAAATCCACTTATACTCTTTATTACCAAAACCTAAATTTAAAGCTAAAAAACATGCACTCCAGGAAAGTGTAATATTAAGATATTAGAAATTTCCAGCTTCAGTGCTTCCAGCTTCAGCCGTGACAATTAATGAGACCGAGGTATTCCGTATTGCTAATTGAACATGTAATATTGTTATCGATGGCGACACCTCCAGGCCTTTCTTGACAGAACTTCTGACATCGGAAAGTTATGTCACGTGATGTGGCTGCGTGTTACACAAAATACGTAGTTCGCGTAATCGGCCGATTCAAAATCATTTTATGTTTAGTAAATATCGGCTATTTGCGCAACAATGATGACAATGTATTTCATAATAAAATTTGCACTGCATGAGGTGTAAACCGCACATCGTTTAAGTTTTTTTACAGTTACACTTATCGGTATATACATAATTTGACTAAGATCCTTAATAATCGTTGAAACTTGAGAATATAATAACAAAAATATCACAATATCAATGACTTCTGAGATTCTTGAAACAAGAGTGAGTTTCGTAGTATTGAATTATCTGTAGTTAAATAAAACGCCTTCTTATTATAATGTAGATATAGTCGATAATATAGGATAATACAGTATAAAAAATGTCAATTACTTGCTGAGGACATCTGCGCTTAACTTCTTCAATGCTATGCAAAGTACGCAATTTATGAGACTTCCTAAATTAGTTCATAAATTAAAATAACATATTTATCCTGAAAAAGCTCAACTTTTATAATTAAAAAAATGAATACCATTTTATTATAGCCAAGATATCTTTACTAGATTCGTCATGATAAATCGTCTCAATACATTCAATGTGCGAATCCCAATCCGGTTCATAAAATCGAGGAATACTATCACCTAAACGAAACTTTCCAGAATTTCTACCCATTTTATTGCCTTCATTCTGTTTCTTCACGTTAACAGCTTCGGAACTTGATCCATCAACTACTTTTGAAGTGTTTGTTTCGGCAATAGATTTGGAATCTGTTGTTGTTGCTGCTGTTGGTTTTTCTTTGGATATTGACTTTGATTTCGGATGGCTGTCAAAATGTTCCCAATAATATTCAAGCAACTCTGCATACTTAATTCTTTAGAAAAGATCACATACTGTTATGTTCTACATTAAGTCATGATGATCTTGAAAACACATTTTTATTCTACTTACATTTCATCTTGAAGTTTCCATGAATTTTCTTCATCTGGATAACCATGCCATTTGACCAGGTAGCTTACACTTCCCTATAAAAAAGAAAGAAAAAAAAAATCGTAGATTTGGTCACAAAAAAATACGTTACAATCATAGAACATACATTAATAAATTTGTGATCAAGAATTCTTTCGACGACTCTATCTTTGTTTTTTCTATGCATAATGTCAACCTTTACTAATACTACTTATTAGTATGATTTAAAAACGGTAACTTAGTTGAAGTGGCTTAGTAATTATGATGCATTTTTTTGTCAGATTCTTTTAAAATATGATGACAAAATAAGATTGTTGGTTCTATTGACGTCAATCTCATCGGATTCTAATTTCTGCTAAACAACTCAAAATCGAAATGATATTACGACAGAATGAAACCCATGATTAGAGTTGGGACACGGGAAATTTTTGCATATTAAAAAAAAATGTGTGCTCCGGACGACTACATGGTAGTCCGAAAATCAAACCAAAAGATCACTATCGCTATGGATACCAAAAGGTACCTTTGTTGTGATTGGTCAATTTATTCAATTGAATTTATACAGTCTAAAACTTTTATAAGACTCTACAAATGAAGCTTTAAATACCTAAGTATCTCTGAGATTCCATTTAGGTGTACCTTGCTTAGAAACGGATTAAAACAACAAACGAGGTAATTATAAAAGTGGTGTATTAAACTCGTTCTTACCTCTACTGAAGAATGATCGGACCACTAATCAAGATCAGAACGATCAAGATGCCGGCATAATCAAGGCTATAATTGAGGATATAGACTAGCATTTACTACAACTCAAGATACTGAAGTATTTTTAGCAAGCACTGTGTTTGGATCTTCGTTTCCGAAGTGTAAAGAATTTTTAAGTTAAATATCTAATATCGATATATACAATTTATTATATTGCGGCGAACTTATAAAATAACCAAATCAAAAAAATTTTGACTAGGTGCACTTAGGAAAGTTTAACCCATACATTATTTTCACACAGATTATCGATTTATATAGACTTTGTTTTCTGTTTTATATGTAATATTATAAATACCGGGAACCGGAGAACTTAAAATGAAGATTTTACTATTTACGTATTACTATATATACTAGTGGGGATTGGAATATATAGTATTTAGAATATGTATTGTAATAATCAATATTTATATTAGACAATTATATGAATATACTCACATGCGTTTTTTACTATTGTTGAACTTGACTCTTACCTTTTATGGTTTTTATTTTTGCATTCTGATATTTTTTAATTTTTACAGTAAGGTTATGTTTTTAACTTTATTAAAACTTAATTGAATCTCTTCACAAGAGAAGATATACAGGAAAAAAATTATATTTAAACCTTATATTTAGAGAATGTTAAAATTAGAAACTCAGACACAATGTTAAAAAATATAATTATTTGTAGCCTAAACCTATTAGAATAGTAAAGGTATTTAGATTTTGAGTTTAAAAGTATATTATCCTTTAAATTATAGACCAACATAAGCAAATTTTTGTGTTATTATTATAAATATATTATTAATTTACTTTTTAAAGAAAATAATGAAAATAGCAAGACCAAGTTTCATTTATACAAAGGCTGTAGCAAAAATAAAACACAAAAGAAGCTAATTACAAGAAAATTTCAAAGCAGCAGAAGAGTATTGAAGAAAAGTTGAATAAAAAAATCTACTAAAAAATTAAAAGGAAATACGAAATTGAGCTTGAATCAGAAATGTTGAGCATAAAAAGAAGTATAAAAAAAAAAGCAGTAAAAGAAACCTATAGCCTGAAGGCAAATAAAAAGATCTTAATAGAAATGCTACCTGAAAAAATAATATGAAGTTAAATAGAAAAAAAGAAATACAAGGAGAGCTAATAGCAATTATACAAGAATTGCAAAACACAAAGAAAATTGATTTCTTTACAAATAGATTATTTTATAAAGAAAAACACTTTTAAAGAACATTGATGAAAATAGGATAAATAGTATTATAAAAATTCAAGAAGATAAAAAAGAAAAGTTAAATTTAATTATACATTGAAAGATTGGTCTTTATTAACAAGTGCAAAGCTAGGTGCTATTTGAATAGCATTGCTAGTAGTATTAGAAGAGACTAAAATTATAATACATATAAATAGCCTTGTATTAATTTAGACACTCAAAAGCAAAGGTGCTATATAAAAAAGAAAAGAAAAGTACTGAAGTTTAAAAATACAAGCTTTTTAGAACAAATTAAATAACTTGAAAAATGAAAAATCTCAAGATATAATTAAAGAAGATTAAAGAATATAGTAGAAATAAATATAATAACTTAGCAAATAAGCTTATAAAAGAAGGTCTGAAAGAGTAAAGAGCAGCAACAATCAGATGTTTATAGACAAAATTGCTTTCTAAAGATACTTTAAAAAGAGTGTTTAAAAAAGGATTTTATAAATAAAGAGAAAATTAAAACTCTATTTTTTAAAAAAACTTAAAAAGAAATTACAGAAACAAGAAGATATTTGGTAAGAAGTCTTATAATCATAAGAAAAAAAGAAAAAATTAGAAATAAAATAAAAGATAAAAGTATATAATAGAAAATGCTTGATATAATTAAGAAAAAGTTTAATAAAAGATTTTAAAAGCAAATCTAAAACTTTAAATATAAACTAATTAATAATTAAAAAAAGAAAAACAAAATAATAAAAGAAAACAAAAGGCTAAAGAAATTAGAAAGAAAGAAGCTTAACACAAAATCTAAAGATCAAGAAAATAAGATTACAAAAAAGAAAAAAAGAAAATAGACTCAAGAAGAAAAAGAAAAACAGATTCTAAGTATAGTATAAGAAAATAACCAAAATCTAATCTAGTATTGTATTAAGTTGAATTGGTTTTCATAGATTAATTGGTGATTTGCCAGTTAACCAGAGAAAGATTATAATATAATATGATGTGGTTTATCTATAGAAATTAAAATTTTATGACATCATTTTAAAACTTTTTTTATACTAAATTAACCACCTTTAAGCTTCTATTGAAGTTATAAAACTTATTAAAACAAATCTAATAGTGGTTAAATCATCAAAATTGGCTAATAGATCATAAAAAATCTTTGAAAAATGTTTTGCCAACTAAATAAATTTCTCTTTCAACAATACTATTAATGAAAGAGAAATTTATATAGTTAGCAAAATGGTTTTCAAAAATATCTTATAGTATGAAAAAAATTTTAAAATGATGCAACTTACATTCACAAAATCTTAATTTCTATATGTAAACCAGGTTATATTATACTATAATCTCCTTCTGGTTGACTGGCAAATCATCAATTAATGTAATAAAAAAAAAACAGACATTACTAACAAGGTTAGTAGCTTTTAGCTTAAGATTAAGAAATCAAATCTTTAAAAAGTTAAAAATCTAATATGAAGCAAATTGGTTGCTTAGGTGGGTTACATCTAGGCTTTGATACTGAATAAGCTTTTATTAATACAGAAATATAGTATAAAAAGTTATATTTATTTTAAATATAAATTTTTGATACTTTTAATTAAAATAATAAAGGCAGAATTGTTAAAAAAAAATTAATATAATAATATTTGAAAATAAAAATTATTGTTATTTAGATAAGGTCTTGCTTATAACTTTTATAATTTATCATATATATCAAAAAACTTTTTTTAGGGTATATATCGATTGCAATCTCCTAGTTTCTCATCAATATACATCACCCCTGCTGGGTTATATCGATTATAATATATAACGATATATAGCAAAAATTCGTTAAATTTTATCAAACTTTGACATGAATTTTCTCAATAACTATCAATTAAAATTAGTTGAAATTTTTACTGTAGATAGTAATTGTATTCAACTATAATATATAAAATTTTTATCCAATTATAATTACTAGTTCACAAGAAATCGCTTGTATACGATAGATAATTTTTTTAAAAAAATTATCTATCGTATACAAGTGATTTCTTGTGAACTAGTAATTATAATTGGATGAAAATTTTATATATTATAGTTGAATACAATTACTATCTACAGTAAAAATTTCAACTAATTTTAATTGATAGTTATCGAAAAAATTCATATCAAAGTTTGACAAAATTTAACGAATTTTATAATAATCGTTAATAATCGATAATGATATATATTGCTTTATAACTATAATCGATATATATCGTTAGTGATATAAATTGATATATAGCTAATAATCAATATATATCATATAAAAAAATCGATAACCAATGACCCTGCTAGTAGCAATCGATGCAAATCTTCAAAAAAATTTCCCGATATATATATTGCTATATTATATATTACTATATATCAAGTACACTAAGCTTAGACTTTAATTCTATTGGCAACCTATATTATAACTAAGATCAATATTTGTAATCAGACATCTCTTAAACTACTACTAGCTATCTATTCATTATTTATAATTCAAACCTATCAGAATAATGAATTCTTATTATATTTTTTTTTTTATAATTCAGCAGTCTTGTCACTTTTTATTTGCAGATTAAACTATACTAAGAAATTTAAAATATTCTATAAAATAGATGGACAATATAAGAAATAAGCTTCGCTAATGATTAGTAATTATTAATTTTTTAATATCAAAGTTGCAGAGTTGACAAAATTGCCCACCTATTCTATAGAACATTTAAAATTTACATTCTCTAATAGTAACTATACTAATTCACTTATAAAGTAGTATACCTACACTTTCACCAGATATGACTTACCTTAGTAGACTTCAAGCCTTTTTTTGAGCCTCTAACTTACTAGAGGTTATCTTTTGATTATAGACTAGTGCCACATATTATATCTAAATTAACTTTTCTTTTTACAAAATGAAATACAAATACAAATGCAAAGAATATAACTAAAATAAAAAAATACTATAATATTGAGTTCTGGTCTACCTAAACCAATAAAACCAAATAAAACAAATAACGAAAAA